AAAAAAAAAAAAAACAATTTGATTTTTCTATTTCTTAGACTGCACAGACTACAGCGCCTACACAACATTTGATTGGTGGACCGGGGCGGGGGTATCAGAGAATTTACGCTAAATGCAAATAAAATAGAATAAGTGCTTAAATATCGAAGAGCATCATTGCCTAAAAGTTTCTCAACTACTTTTGTCGCCCATTGTGGGTTGAAAATGTTGTTTGTTACCCCTCCCCTTAGCATGTTTTGTCACTGTGACTTCTTGCCCTTACAACTTACTGGCAGCCATTTTACCCCTGCTTGAGAAGGACACTACCCTCAAATGCAACACAGGAACTTTGAACAGGCCTTAACTTGGAGTCCTATACACTGACAATTTTGTCACCAAACATATTCCCAGAAGACAACCTAAGACAGAGGGTTCAAAATTGCAACCAACAAAACTTGATAGGCCATTTACAATACGTTATCTTGTCCATGTCAAAATAAGTCTTTGTAGAAAGTCATTTAAATGAAAATGAGGTTTACCTGTAAGTTCAATTTCATGCAAATCGAACTCCTTTTCATTTGGACGAAACAGTTTGCACAACGGCTAGTTTTGAAACAGAGACACAAGTCCATACGGAAATGGCCTAATACTTACCTCCCCTCCACCGTTGCAGTTCTTGTTCATATTTCCCCACGGCCGCTCGGAGCTTAGAAACCTTTTCTTTTTCTTTCTCGTAACGTCTCTTCCACTCCTCTGCTGTGAGTTCTTCATTGATGACCACTACATTTTTAATGGTCTTCGCTCTAAGGATTTAAATACATGTGCAGTCAATATCAAAGTTTTATAGTAGTTCTCCTAAATTCAAAACTGTCGTGCTACTTTAGCATGCAAGGGAAACACTAAGTTATATATTTATAAATATACACAATACTTATTTATCTATACATTTTTTGTATATTTGTTTAATATTTAATTAGAGTCCCTAATTAGCATAGCATTGCTAAATACATTTTCCATTTAAATAAAATTTTATCTATCTTATTTACTTACCGTGAAATGATTTTGTGAGGCTAACAAACTTACCACAGCAGTTATTTCACTTTATCAACTTCAAGTTTTACAAAAACTGCAAAAATTCTTGTGCATTTATTGGCTAAATTTCATTGTCAATATACGCAAAGACACAAGAATTTATAATTTATGCAACGCGTCATCGAGAAAGAGCAGATAATTTGACAATTTGTTATTGTAAACAAACAAATTGACGTCAGTTTTTATGCATCTGTCCTGTTATTGACAATGAATTTCATCATAACATTGTCAAAGTAGTCTGCAGATCCACTTGGCTATCGCCTCTTAGATCCACAACTACTTTGACAATGTTATGACAAAATTCATGAACAATAACATGACACACGCATGAAAAACTGATGTCAATTGTTTAACTGATAAATAGCTACTGCATGTGCAATAAATATCGCTGAACTTTCATGAGATTTTCAGCGCATTACCTTTGGCCAAACATAAGAGTTGACCTCGTCTCTTGTTCATTGAATGACGAAGGTGAACAGCAGATGATTATGGTTGTCCGTGCATTGCCACCTTTTACAAAACAAAAAGCAGGAGATCAGTGACACAAATCATGTTGGCGATTAACAAAAGAATTAACATGTACATGTATTTGATCTTACAGCAAGTGTTTTCCAGGGCCTGGTTGTTCTTAGCTATTTCAGGAAGAGGTTAAATTTTTAGGCTCATTTAGACCATCACAGCAAACATGTTTTTGGTATGGGTCAAACACAAATGGTACACAGCCCCCAAAAAAGTTTTGTCACAGTTAAATTCTGGTGTGAAAATGACTTTTCTTTATCCGTCTTGGTGCAGAATTTGTTTTGAGCCATGATTTTATTTTTCCAGGGCATCTACCTCTAAACAGGGTTAATACTCACCCAAACTTTCCTGCAATATTCTAGTCATTTTGCTGTCTCTGTAGGGAACATGGGTTTTCTAGGAACAAAAAAAAAAACAGATGTAACTCAGTGTATGTTTTTCTGACAGATATCCTGGACAGGAAACCATCCTTTAAAAACATCAATTTCGTTTTTTTTTTTTTTTTTTTNTGGCCAGTGTAGGAGATACATCGTAAGATATGAGTTTCATTTTGTCCCTAACCTTTTCAGATCCAGCCAAGTCAACCAAATAAAGTTTGCCACTTAATTTCTTGTTGGTTTCCACATTTTCTTGCTTGATGTGAAGGAGGAAAATGCTGTGACTTCTTGAACTATGCTCATTCATGTCTGGTAAACCAAAAATCAAAAAAGTTGAGGTTCTATTCCTAAACTATCGAGACAACAAAGAAAGACTAAATTATGTGTACCACCCCCCTTGGTTAGTGCACTCATTTCCGGATCGAGCGGTCCTGGCCAGGGAATATTGTGCTGTGTTCTTGGGCAAGACACTTTACTCTCACAGTGCCTCTCTCCACCCAGGTGTATAAATGGCTACCGGTGAACTTAATGCTGGGGGTAACCCTGCAATGGACTAGCATCCCATCCAGGGGGGAGTACAAAATTTAATAATCCTAGTCGCTTCATGCTACAGAAAGCAGGATACGTTCAGGCCTGGTGGGCTAGCAGACTTTACCTTTTTACCAAGCCCTGAATGGATCATTGTCTTGTGTTCTTGTGCAAGACACTTCACTCTCACAGTGAACCAGCCTGACAGGTTACTAAGCTCAAAAAGAGACTTTGTCAAAACCACCCACCTTATTTGATTAATTTGGTCTCTCAACCTCATTAAAAAGGCATTCATTAAATTGTACTTGAATTGAAACAAATAGTCAAACTATGAAACTTGTGTACAAAGTTACATAAAGGAGTGTCAACAAGAGTTTCACCATGCAAGACAAAATCCCCTTGATGGTGAAATCTGTTATTCTCAACACCGGAAAGCTTGGCGACATACAGTATTATTGTTTCTTTAAGGAAAAACTATTGAATGTCTGACTTACTTGTCACTGCTACATGCCGATTGGCTTTTCCTTCATCAATGATTTCCATAACCTCCTCAGGACTGGACACAAACCTTTCACTTGCACCCTACAGAAATCACATAAACCTGTTTAAAATCCTTCTTTTGGAAAATCTAAAGTGTAGTTCATGCTGTAATCCTGAATCATACATGACCAGCAAGCAAAGAAGTGATGTTGATAGCCTGCTGTTGGTGAATTGCATGGTCTGGCCACTGAATTCTGTCCTTTCCTTGCACACCAGGCAAGTGTAGTTTCTTGGGAATTTTTTTTTTTTTTGGGAGGGGGGGGATTACAGACTGAAGTACTGTAAGAGATGAAATTTTGTGGGGCAAGCAAAATGACTTCCAGGCTAATACATCAGATGGTTACTGAGAGGGCTGTCATTAAGGGCTGTAACCCGCAACACCTCTTACGGCTGAGTATGTTTGATTTTTCCTTGATGCTATGGATGAAATTGCTTGTCGCTTATAGAATTCACCTACAAAGTAACAAATTTGCTACAGGCATGGGGAATAAGGTGTGGAGAATAGGGCTACAGGTGACTAAAAACTTAATGACAGTCCTGTTACACATTCCCTGAAGTGAGATTGTAGCCAGGATGCCTACTTTGCACCCTGATGTGTAGACAGTCAGTTTAATCTTCCTTTCCCTACCTTCACATAAGGTACTCTATTTTTGTCTTCGTGAACAGCTAGGTTTGTTTTTGTAACTGTAAAGAAACAACAGGATTTAAAGTGTAAAAGAAAAGAGTAGCAGAAACCATGAAATAACAATCCGCTGGATTAGGCTTACTGTTACTTAGACCTACAGCTGTAGTACAATGAAACCAACTGAGTGCCATGTATCTTACCATCTAATAGATCTCTGATCTTGTCAAGGTAAATTTCAAAATAGGAAACCTAAAATCAGAAAAGAGAGACTGATATTTCATTTGTTTACCTCTTTTTCAAGCCATACAAGTTAGAATACATTAAATGAAACTAAACAATGTACATATACTGTTGACACTGCACCTTATTGTTAAATAAAATTCCATCTTAGGTAGATACAAGTTATACATCAACAGATTCTCCTTGCAATTACCATAGATTTAATGTCATGTTAGTTTGGAGAATTTGATATTACATCAAAACATAGAGATGTAGCCAACGGCTGGCTGCCCACTAGCAAATTTCACAGGCTGAACAACTGACATTATTTTCACATGGATTGAAAACAAAGACTTGGGGTAACTTTGAGGGTGCTAAGGCCAGAAAAACTGGCCGAGCTTGTTAATAAGACAGTGTTTACAGTAGATTTCTAATAACGAAACATTCACCATCTAGGGACTACACGCAACTTTCGGGTTTCAGGCTACCTGACAAAAGACAGAATTTCTCAAATCCAAACCATCCACTCTTTTAACCAGCAACAGAACTGGAAATCACATTTATTGCCCAACCAGATTTTGTGATAATGTACATATATCAGACTAACTATATCTTCCATACTTTATAAATCAGTGCGCTAAGATATTCAAACAGAGCCATCAGTATCTAATTTAAACAACACTCGCCTTAATGTGAAACTCCAAATTTTCATCCATATTGTAGATGTAATTGAATATATCTTGTACAATTCGAGGAATAATTCCTTGGTTGACGGGATCATTAAGATGACCCTACAAGAGTGAGAAATAATAATAATAACAATCATCATTACAGGGCTGGAAAATTTAAGTGCTGTCCGGTTGTCCAGGACAAGTAAATTTTCTTACCAAGCAAGTAACTTAATTCTAACCTGCCCAATGGGTAAGGGTTCAGGCAAGTCGTCGACCAAATAAATAAGAAAAAAAGTAACCTAAGACTTGCCTAGGACGAGCAAAATTTGAGAGCTGCTTGTCCGAAGGCCAAGGTGGCATTCATGCTTCTTTTGAGCCCTGCATTATTGATGGCAAGAACACATTTCTACATGTTGGAGAAAAATGTTGTTGTTTCAAGATTCCTCCATATGTTCCAAGAAAAATCTTTTATACATGTATATTATAGATAGGAGTCCATCCATTTCACAAAACCATGTTCAATCTTCACTGTAACTCTCATTATCAAATGAAGAGGAAACGAAAAACAATGTTAAGTGAAAAGCTCATGCCCAGGTCTCTACGTTGTATCTCTGTGGCGGGGTAAATTTAATTCACCCATTTCACTCTATCAGTTGTACATTAATTGTACATTACTTTTGCTCAAATTTATGGAAAAAGTACTTAAGCCTAGCATAAAATTCCACATCGAAAGCTTACCTCCATTGTGTGGGTCTTCCCACTCGATGTCTGTCCATAAGCAAATATCGTTCCATTATATCCATTGAGCACATCTGTGGAGAGCAGTACAATTATAAGGAAAAAACTAAACTGTACCTGTAGTTGAATCTTCGCTAACAGACACCTGAAGGCAGACACATAATCACTGTCCCTGCCACAAACTAACACTAATATATCAGTGTTCCTGATAACTGAGGGGTCTCAAGTCAAAACCCTGACAAGATCAGCTACATGACCCGACAAATTAATATAAAATTTATGATGATTTGGTGGGCGCAGTGGGAATTGACCCATTGGAAATAGACATCCTGCCTTGAAAACTTAGCTGAAACCCTGATATATACTGTAAACTACATTCTAACTTGTAATTTTCTGTGAAGTATATATGAAATAATTCATATTTGAACTGCGGAAGTAGATGAAAGTGAAGTATGATCATC